CCAGGTTGGGAGCAGTTGGGTGTTCAAGGTGGATCTTATTATCACTGATATAAAAATCATTGGGCTGATTTGCAGAGAGCAGGACCTGAGGGAGTGTGGGACATGGTTCTGCTTAGTTTGGATGATGGTTTGGGAGTTAAAAAGAGTAGAAAACGTGGATGCGTGTAGTAAAACTAAATTCAAGTGACCGATCATAGGACTTGAAAGTGGGTAGCTTTCAAAAGAGAGGAACTGTTGAAGTGTCAATTGAGGGAAACAATATAATAGCATTTTGCTGAGGGTGGACTTTGCCTTCTTTGGGATTGGCAATATTGTTTCTCTCTCTCTCAATTTTATACCTAAAACACAGAGATCACTATCTTCACAGGAAAAACAAAGTATCTGTATCTGTAATGGTTCCTAAGCTGCTCAGAGAATTATGGTATTTTATTTACTTAATTTAACTGAAAATGACAAAGCTAATCAAACATTCTTTCTGTGTTTAACATAGAACTTGAATATTTCAAACAAAACCCTATGTGAAAGTGTTACACTCCCGGTCAGAAATTGGTACATTACAGCTCTAGAATTACTATGGACACCGCTTACTTAAAAATATAAATCTTTAACAATGTTTAATATTTTAATAATGCAATTTAAAATGTGGACTAAAGACCTGTGTTTTGAGATAAGCTAGACAGTAATAAAGATCAGACATAATCAGACCCTACTCATTTGTTCATTATTTGATCTGTTGACACTAAGAACTTTTAAATAAGGCAAACTATTTCGTAATCCACTGATTTTGTTAATTAAATAATTTAGAAGAATAGAACAATAATGTGTTGAGTTCAGGAATGGAACAATATTAGAAACATTAATAAAGAAAAAATATAAGAAAGGATAAAGAAATAAGCTTTAGAATGACCTATGACAATCAAGTATCCTTTATACACACAATTTACTAATATATTTTCCCCATTTCAAAGTATTTCTTAATTTACATCAGTGGTGTCCAGCCTTTCAGCCTCTCTGGGCCACACTGGAAGAATTGTCTTGGGCCATACATTAAATACATTGCGACCTGTATTGAAAACAACAACAACAACAACTCATAATGTTTTAAGTAAATCGACAATTTTGTGCTCGGCCACATTCGTAGCCACCCTGAGCCTCATGCAGCTTGTGGGCCGCAGATTGGACACCCCTGGATTTATACATAAGTGTGCAAGTGGTGATCATAATTCAAACATTTACTGTGACTAATAAATATAAGCTTGAAACCAAACAAACTAGCAGAATCATGTTCTACCATCAGGGGTAATAACTCATCAGCAATAAGAATATACATGTTTGTTCCAAAAAAGATTCTGAATTAAGTGATTTAAAATATCAAGAATGATGCCTAACTTAAAGTCTTTAAATAAAAAATGACATAGTATATCTTTTGGTGAATGAGATATGAAAGATTATTTCTATGGCTCATTATACTCTCTTGGACAAGTGCCTCAGCAAATGTTACTTGACTCTCTGGCTCACAGAGGGTGATTCAATTCTATACCAGCCTTAGAAATTAAGATATAAACTTTGATCATCCCCAAGGGATTGGCTCTGGTTAAGAGAGGCCCTGGACAGCTTGACAACTCTAAAAGTTATCCTGGATTAGGAAGGTCCTAAAAGGACCTAAAAGCAGGTTAGGAAAAGCCCCAGAACACCAGAACAGGAATGCTTTCCCACTGCCTTCCCCTAATATCTCCAACATCACACACACACACACACACACACACACACACACACACACACACACGTAAGCAGCCCAAAATACTTTGCTCAGAAAATGACTTTCATAGTATACATGCACATATACTGGCGTGATTCCTGTTTCAATGAAGATCACAAATATTTTTAGTATTAAGGGGTAGTAAATAAGAAAATTTAGCCAGAGGAGACTTTATTAAGATCTTATTATAAAGAACAGAAAGAGAGGCAGCAATGTAAAAAAGGCTTTCTTTAGATTAGTGGAGATCAGAGCAACAGAAAGGTGCCAATAGAAGAAGAGTAATTGAATGTCATGTGTTAATCTATCTTGGAAAAAAATATAGTATTACATTAAGCACTTATGCCATGCCTTGTGCTACTGGCTTTCCATAAGTTTTCTCAGAACAACTCCTAATGTCTCTTCAAAGGGAGAGACTATCATTTATTCATTTTTGTGTCCTCCAGGCCTTTTACAGAATGTGTGGCCTAGGGCTACCTACATCATCAAATTTTTATTACCTTGCTGTCCTGCTTGATCTGGGATGCCCAGGTTTCCTTTTGTGCTAGTTAGGAAAAACCTGCAGGGAGAGAATTTCTAGCCTCTCCTGTGGGATGAATTACACAGAAAAATAAGCAAACATTAAAGTTAAAATAAGGCTTCTCAGCTAAATCTATTATTGTTCCCACCAGAGAACGTCAATTGCCCATTTTCCTCATAAATTCATCCACAGAAAGGGCATCACAGACCACGATGATCCAACAAAATGATTCACAGGTGTTAACAGTAATGCACAATGTGTGTATACATCTGGGTGACATTATTTCTTCCTCTGCTGGTTGTGAACTATCTTTCTGATTCTTAAACACTTTACACATTTAGTATCTGATCATCTGAGTCACACTGAAAGTAAATATAAAAAACAACTACACCTGGCACTTTGATCCAGGATGCGACAGCCCACTTTTTCCAAAATCACTTTTGTGCCAGCAGCTGCCTGACTCCAAGATGCTTGATTCCACGAACCGTGAACGAGCACCTGAGAAAGGCAAGTGAATCCGAACAGAGGCCAGACATTTTCCGTTAGCATCAACCCTCTACAGACCTGTGTCTTATCTCTTTTATTCCTCTACTTTAATTTTGATTCATATTTCCTTTAAAATGTTTTGGCATCTTATTAATACCATGATGGCTGTCCATGAGCAGGTATTTGTTCCATATTAATATTACCCATGTATGTTTAGCACTGGACGAGGTTCTCTTATGAACGGAAAAGCAATAGGTGAAATGGTTCCGGCCGTCAAGTATTTATTTATCTGTCACATTGAACAGCATGATAGAAAAACTTAATAGCTGCCCTTTATGGTGATTTACAGTTAAGTGCTTTCTCACAGTCTTATTTCATTCTTTCTAACAATTCTATGGGGATCTCTTAATGGGACCAGGTTTTGAATGCAGTTATTTACATTCTAAATCACTTTAAACTCTTGAGAACACCATAAGTCTGTCTCTGTGTGCATATGTGTGTATATAATATTTATATATAAAATATATTTTAATATGTTTTTATATTACATAAACCAATATATAGGTGTATATACCTTTACATTTACATATATATGTATACACAACACCACACTCACACACATATATGTGTGTGTGTATATTTTACATTAAAAAAATGTATATATTTAGGTTGATGCAATTTCAAGACCTAGGTTCTACTTTGGGTTTGTTACTTACTGGCTGCTGAACATGGACACGCAGATCCAGTTTCTTTATCTGTAAAATGAGAACAGTAAGCCCAGCCATAACTTTTTTTTTTTTGCAGGAGATTTGTGAAGATCCAACAAAATAGCATTTATGAAACTGCTCTCAAAGTCACATAAAAATGTGAAACATTATTAGACACCATGTTTTTTCTGTTTTATAAAGATGGAAAAGTGAAGATTTCTTTAGAACTAAGAAATTAAATGGAAACTTGACCCTTTCACCAAGAGGTCTCTGGACCATTTTTCTCCATCTTTGATCCTGGAGTGGGAGGGGACCAAATTTTCTTTTTGAGACCTCATACTCTTTCTTTCCTTTGGAGAAAATAGACACTGTTTTGTATATATAAAAAATATATTATGTATATAGACACTTACACTTTGTGAAGCTTGAAAGTACATTAGAAATACCTTGAATCCTGATGGTACCCCCATTTCAGCCCCTCTCCAACCTCACCTCAAACTTGGATAGCCACTACCCTAAACTGGGGATTTACAAAGGCCTTACTAGTTTACTGTATTTGCACAAAGCCCAATTTTCCATGTTTTTTAAAAGTCCTTTAACTTGGTAAAGAATCATATAGAATGCATTTTGAAATTATATTTCACAACATCATACTTGTGAAATTCATTGGTGTTAATGTATGCAGCTGCAGTTCACTTTCTCTTGCTGTATAGTATTTCATTTTTTAATTATGCACATTGCAAAAATGCTCTACAAACATTCTTTTACACATCCCCAAGTGTGTACAGGCCTAGGATTAATATTTCTGGTCTTTAATTATGTTTCTTTAATGTTACAAGAAAATGCCAAGTTGTTTGCCAGAATGGTTGTACCAATTTACAATCTATCACCAGGGTAGAAGAATTCTCCTGTGTTCTCTCACTCTCTCTCTCTCTCTCTCTCTCTCTCACCCCTTATATCATCACAAATTCCTCATATCGTCATATTTTAATTTTTTTGCCAAATTAATGATATAAAATATCTCATTGTAGTCTTAACATGTATTGCTACTGTTGCTAGTAAGGAATATATTTTCATAAATTACAATGCAGTTCTGTCAAATGTTTATTTATTTCTTCTGTGCATTTTCCCATATGGTTGTTTGTTATTTTTCTTCTAGATTTTCAGCAATTTTTATGTGTTTTGAATATAATTCTTATTGTGACACAATTCTATCAAAGTCTATGTCATCTTATTGATTTATAACAATTCTCTGTGTTTTTTAGATATAATTTTATGTCACATTAATTGAAATATCTTCTTTCAGATTGTGCATTTCTCTTACTTTCCCTATAAAGCTTTTAGGTAAATTGGAAATTATAATTTAAATTTTGCCAATAATGGGTTATTATTTTTGTATTTTGTTTAGGAAGTCCTTCCCCATATCACAGTCATGAAGATAATCTTCTACATGTTCTAAAAGTTTTATAATTTTATAATTCCCATTTGGAATTGATTATTATGTTTGACTTGCAAAGAGTCCAATTTTATTTACTTTTTCATATTGATGGAAATTTTCCCAGGGCAATCTTATAAAATAGTCCATTACTGTCTTATGAATTTGAGAAAAGTTTTCAATTAGCAATAATCGCGCCTCAGATAAACCTCATTGGCTACGGTACTACCACTGTGCGAAGCTGTCTTATGAATTTGAAATGTCATAAATAAATGTTCTAAATATACAAATTGTGGTTAGTTGTTCTGTTCCATTGGTTTATTCTTTGCTCACATACCAATGCTATTGCATAACTTTGAAGGAGCCAATTGACTATAAATCCCTGCTTCTCTGACTACTGTTTGTATGGTCTTGGCTACTTAACCTCAGTTTATACTTAACTTTGTTAATGAATAAAATCGTAATAATGCCCTACTTTACCTGACAGTCATTGTCATGTTGCTCCCCGTTTCTACTGTTAAGGTTCCAGATATTTCTTGCTCTTTGAACTAAGTCCTGTGCCGCTCCTGGGTTCCCTCTCGTTTGGCTGCTTCTCCTGACCCTGGGACGCCGCCATGGCCATTCGGGGACCCGAATGGCTTCTCAGTCTCTGTCCGGGGGGCAGCAGTCAGCCTGAGTCATCAAATCTACGTAGGGTTTCTGTCACTCACCTTCATCTGAACTAACCCCTCATTTTTTCTCCTTTGTTAGAACATCTTAGCAATGTCTTCTGCTAAGAAATTCTAGAAGTAAAAGAAATTCTAGAAGTAAGTATATTTTCAAATGTAACTTCAAACTTATTATGCTGCTAAATAATTAATAACACATGTTCAAGAAGATCCTATTAAAATTTCAAAGCTATTATTCTAACACAGCAGTCTACGTTTATATACAATAACCAAGATGAGTTATTTTCCAGCTATTCTGAAGAAATAGGAAACTTTATACTTCTCAATATGCCTATTAAAAAAAGAAGTTTCCAAAATATTCTGTAAAAGTCCTGTCTACATGTTAGCTTCCTAAACATTAACTTGAACTTACAAGTAAGGAGAGCATTGTTATTATTAGTCAAAAGTATTACATCTGATAAGACAAATTCTGATTAATTATTCTGTCTAAATTATTAATTGTTAATATCTAGTTAATGAGCTGGCAGAACACTTAGATGTCCTTTTAGGTAGCTTAATTTGATATACCTAATTCCTGAGGAGAAATTCTTATCCATTAAAGCTTTAAATTGTACATAGTAAAAGATATACCCTGAGAAGTGATGAGTCTGTGTTGCTTCCATAACTGTAAGAAAAAGAAACTTTGCAGGCTAGAAGGGATTGGCAAGAAATATTGAAAGTCATGAAAAACAGGGACCTACAGCCAAATGCTCTACCCAGCAAAGATACTGTTTAAATTGAAGGGCAGAGGAAGGACTTCCCAGACAAGAAAAAACTAAAGGAGTTCATCACCACCAAACCATTATTATATAAAATGTTAAAGGGACTTATCTAAGAAAAAGATCAAAACCATGAACAACAAAATGGCAAAAAATACAAACCTATCAACAATTGAATCTAAAAAACAAACTAAGCAACAAGAAGAACAGAGGCAGAATCATGGATACAGACAGTATTTTGATGATTGCAAGATGGGAGGGGGGTGTGGGGGAATGGGTGAAGAGGTGAGGGGATTAAGAAGTACAAATAGGTAGGTACAGAATAGCCATGGGGATGTGAAGTACAGTATAGGAAATGGAGTAGCCAAAGAACTTATACGCATGACACATGGACATGAACAATGGTGGGGGGATTTTCTGAGGGATGGGGGGTGTTGGGTGGAGAGGAGGAAAGAGGAAAATCAAGACAACTGTAATAGCATAATTAATAAAATATAATTGGAAAAATAAAAATGTCTCTCCCCCCCAGTTCTTTTGCCAGTTTTTAATTCTGAGGTATATTAAGTACTTATTTATACCCTTCTACTGAGGATTTTTTGAAATTGATAGTTTCAAATTGATTTTGCATAACAGACTCCTCTTTTGTTAACTGTAAAGTAGTTGTATAATAATTTTTAATGCTTAAAAACTTGACAAATTATTTCTTTCCAAGAATCTTGGCTATTTGAGAAGTAGCCATTTACCTATCAATCAGTCTTAACTGTGGTCAGAACACATCCTTGAGGGCAACAGATCTTTCTAGGTAGTTAGAATCCCTGCAGTATTGATTTAATCTTTTAAACCCTCACCTAAGAATATGTTAATTGATTTTGGAGAGAAAGGAAGGGAGGGTGGGAGGGGGGAGAGAGAGAAAGAAACATCGGTGTGAGCGAGAAACATCAATTGGTTGCCTCCCATACATGCTCCAGCTGGGGATGAACCCACAACCTAAGTACATGCCCTGACTCCTGACTGGGAATTGAACTCACAACATTTTGGTATGCAGGATGATGCTCCAACCAGCTGAGCACCTGGACAGAGCAATCGTGTCAATAATTTAAGGATATGTGTTCGTAGGTATTACTGTAGTTAGGTCAGACCGTCAGTTCTGTCTCCCATTTTCTGGACAGTGGTTCAGTATCAGTTCAGTTTTCACCTTTGCTTTGCTGGTGAGGTCCACCTGGTGCATGTGTCACTTGAGAGTTAGTCTAGGATTTGGGCAGTTGTTTAGATCATAGTTGAGTTCTCAAAGCATTTGCTCTGCTTCTTTGGGTGCATTCATCACATGCTCAGCTCAAGAGTAAGTCTAGGACTTAAGAGTTTGTATAATAAACCTTCTTCAGAGCTTCCTTCCAGCAGTACCCATACGCTCTCTGGCTCCTAGAAGCCCTTTTCCCCTCTTCCTCTGGACAAAGTGAGGTTTTCTCTCATCTCTCTGGGTTTTTAATGTCAGAGTTGCTGCCATAGTAAAGCAGTTCCCTACTGGCTTTAAGATGGCTGGGAGAGAAAAGAGAGAAAACAAGAAGAAAATCTGGGACTCCTGCCATACTCGCTAGCGCTCAGGGGCCCCTTCTCCAGCTGTCTGGCTAGAAAAGGGATTTCTCCCTGAGATTTTGCAGCACAGCTCTGCCAGTAGGCCCACCTGCAGGTTGAAGCTGGGTTATAAAGGAGGGAAACACAAACAGGGAACTCACCCCTGTTACAGCTCACTCAGGTTTTACCTGCAGTCCCCGGTCAGTCGGCCTACTCCATCAAGGCTGACACCAGAAGTTTAGGGTCTTTAAGGACACATGTGGAGATTAACAAAATGGGGCAGGAGGTTGGCCCAAGGCTCAGCTGTGAGCGCCCAGTTCAGCTGCTTTGGTTATGGGGCTCTTTCTCAATGCTAATTACAGTAAAATTGAAAAGGCACATGAAAGGAAATGAAAAGTAACCAGAAACAGAGCTGTGTGTAGTCTGCTTAGTTCCATTTTAGGGGATGATCTGAGAAGGAATTTGGGACAGATTTGCACCACAGACAAAGATCGAGGTCACGCAGGAAACAGTTTGACGGAGCTTCTGGGAACCGCTTGAGTGCTGCTTGTCCCACTAGCCTCTGTGGACCATGTCATCCTACGTAATAGGTCAGGGGTGTGCATTTCTATCCTGCTCTATTTGTCCTCAATGCTGCTAGAGGGAAGGCTGGACTGGGAAAAGGTGGCTGGCCCCCCTGTTGCCCTAGGTGAGCGGGTCTTGGATACAAGTCCCAGGCCACGTGCTGCTCACATTCCCTTCCCGCCACCCGGGGGTCAGGGTGAGGGGCCTTGGCGCTCACAGAGGGAACGGGGACAGGAAGTTGCTAGCAATTATAGTTTAAGGCTGATTATAAAATAAAATTACTTCTAAATGTCTATATTCAAGATAGAGTCCCAATTACTGTTCTATTTGTTTATTGATTGGTACCTTATTTTTACCGTTTACCATGAAGTTTTGGTTCTAATTTTAGGTGAATTAAACCTGAAATGTTTCATTTTCTAAAAATACCAATTATTCTCAATAGGGTCTTCAGTAATTACCATATACCAAGCTCTATCCTAGGTGTTTTATATGAATTATCTCCTCTACATATCAAACAGCATTTAAAACACAGAGAGATTATGCTATTTGCAAACCCAGAACTATTTGTTCAACCATTGTTCCAGGCCTCCTCTCAATGTCATTGGTGATAGATCATTGTCCTCTTGTACTAATGTATCTTTTACAATCTCTGTGTTTCAACACATTTACATCTTACTATACAGTTAGTTTTTGTCATAAAAAGAAAACTAAGCAACCAGTTTTGGGAAACATTCTGCCATTGTTAAGAATGTCTGGGACCTTGACTACGCTGCCAGACTTAAATTCCTTTGCTGTGCATGAGGATTTGCCTTTACAAAGCTGCCACCACCAACCCCTGTCCTATATCAAAAGGTCACTATGACCTTTGACATCGAGCTAATAGCCTGGACATCTAGCTCATAACCGGGCTGGATATCTAGCTCAGCCTGGCCATACAGCCCTCCCAGGAAAGGGGAGAGTCCCCTCTCCCACTGTGGCCAGCTCCTCTGCTAGGAAAACTCTCATTGGTACTACCACAACTTTGACCCTCCTTTGTCTCTGCATAGTGGCCTCTAATGGAAGGACAGGGTAGTTGAAATGATGTAATCTTTACTCCCTCTGAAATGGGAGGGGAGATTGTGTGGACAAGGATTTAGGACATATTAAATTTAAATGAAGTAATAATCGACATTGGCTACCGAAAGTCTAATACATTTGCACAATTTATTTTGAGAACTCTGTGCAAATTGCACCTGCACACACTTTCACACAGCAATTTCCTTTTAAAGTGCTCTAGCAGTAAGCATTATAAACATGTAAGGGACAATTAAAAGCAAGGGATGTGAGCTTAGACGAATAATAGCAGGATTTGGATGTAGACAATTCAGTTGAATTTTTTAGGATTTTTCTCCCCTGTTGACTTTATTGTTATCAGCCATCAGTTTGTTATTTGTACTTATAAGTAAAGACCTATTTGTGCTATTTCTTGGGAGCAGATTTTAAAACCATGTCCTCTGGCTGTCTTTGGCCCTAGTGTTTAACTTTTATCCCAAGCAGGGGTTAATACTCATGGGTGTTAGCACGTGGCAGAGGAAAGAGCTCCCAAAGAAACCCAGGTCATAACATGCTTTGGGCAGCTGCCCCTGAGTTGGTCCCCAGAGCAATCGCCTGCACCAGGTCACACGCTCCTCTCAGTGGGATG